TATATATATATATATATATATATATATATATATATATATATATATATAAAAATAAATAATTACTTATTTGGCTGTGGTTAGACATAGAGGGAATTTGCCTTACAAGAGGAACAGAAGATATATTAAGATAGAGATAAGAATAAAATGGCAACTGATAACAGGAGTATGATGAGAATAATTATATTTAATGTTGTTATTGTATTTTTATTAGGAGATATGTTATGAAGGAAATGAATGCTATAATTGTTCAATGTATATAATTTGTGGAAGGATGTTGCACAGAAATATTTGTACCCAGACAACACCCTGCTTAAGCTTAAGAGATGAAATGTTTCTATTTTTTAAAAAAAATGGAAAATAAATATATAAAACTTTTTTTAAGGAGAGATGAAAAGTTTATATATTTTTTAAAATGGAAAATAAATTTTAAAAACTTTTTTTTAAAAAAAGAAATTTGTCTTCAGTACAATTTTCATTGCATTTTTCCTTTTTAATGGTGAATGAATATTGAACTTTATTGCAACGTTTGATAGTTTAATTTTATCCTGACAATTTGCAGTAAATCAAGCTGGCGAAACTGCCCTGGACACGGCGAAGAGACAGAAAGCTATCCAGTGTGAAGATTTGGTAAGAAAATCATGCTTGTCTACAATTAAAAGATGAGAAGGGGAAATTTGCATGAACATTTGTTTCTCCTTCCCTCTCCCTTCCTCTCTCTTTTGCACACGTAGAATGGGATGAATCGGAGATTCCAGACTGATATTTTATTCTTTTTCAGCCTTAAAACACTCTACTTGTTCCATTCAGTTGCCCAGACTCCACCCCGCAAGGGATTATGGGTTCGTTAAAAGAAGATGATGATGAAAGCGTGAACCCTTGCATGAGAAAGTTTACCATGCTTTATTTCTTAATTTAGTGGGGACACGGTGGCTCAGTGGCTAAGATGCTGAGCTTGTCGATCAGAAGGTCGGCAGTTTGGCAATTTAAATCCCTAGCGCCGCGTAACGGAGTGAGCTCCCGTGACCTGTCCCAGCTTCTGCCAACCTAGCAGTTCGAATGCATGTAAAAATGCAAGTAGAAAAATAAGGACCCACTTTGGTGGGAAGGTAACAGCGTTCTGTGCCCCTTCAGTGTTTAGTCATGCCGGCCACATGACCACGGAGATGTCTTCGGACAGCGCTGGCTCTTCGGCTTTGAAAGGGAGGTGAACACTGCCCCTAGAGTCAGGAACGACTAGCACATATGCGCGAGGGGAACCTTTACCTTTACCTTATTTCTTAATGTCTTTTACAATCACAAAGGATTTTCATCAATCAGAACAAAGCCAGGCATTTCAATCTAGTACAAAATGTCTCTGCCAGGAAGCGAATATGCTTTTCACGAGCGCAAAAGGCGAGTGTTTCAGAATTACCTGTTCTTTCAGCTTTCCCAGGCCAAAGTGGGGAAACTAAATCCGCACGTTCACGTCGAATACGAGTGGAATCTTCGGCAGGAAGAAATGGATGAAAGTGACGATGACCTCGATGACAAGGTAAAGAAGAATGGGGGGGGGGGATTACAGGTAGTCCTCGGTGTTGCAACAGTCCACTTAGAGGCCCTTCAGAGTTGCAACAACACTGAAAAAAGTGACTTGCGACCATTTTTCACCCTTATGGCTGTTGCAGCATCCTCATGGTCCCGTGATGAAAATTTAGACCCTGGGCAACTGACTCATATTTGTGATGGTTGCAGTGGCCTGGGTCATGTGATCTTGTGACCTTCCGACAAGCAGAGTCAATGGAGATTCACTTAAGAACTGTCTATGGAGATTCTCCATCATCCAGGTCATGGTTGTCCCAAAGGTGCTTTTTTCAAGAGGCAACTGGACTTTCTGGTTTTTCTTTGAAGATGTTTCGCTTCTCATCCAAGATGCTTCTTCAGCTCTGACTGGCTGGTGGGGGATGGAAGGAATGGAACAGAACTGTCCTTTCAACAGTTACAAGAAAGCTCCTCCCCATTTGTACTAAGGTGACTCCGAGGACACAGATAAACCTCCAGGTGGCCTCAATGACTCTCTAAAAGGATGCAAATGACCATCTGTCTGCAAGGAATATAAACCCTTCCATTCCCCACCATCCAGTCAGAGCTGAAGAAGCTTCTTGGATGAGAAACGAAACATCTTCAAAGAAAAACCAGAAAGTCCAGTTGCCTCTTGAAAAAAGCACCTTTGGGACTTAACAACTAGCTATGCATAGATTGTAGGGTATAATGAATGTGTTACTAACTTAACAACTGCAGGGATTCACTTAACTACAAGACCGTCTAACTACAAGACTGCCACATACCTCCCAACATCCGATAAGTTCGTACAGGGTGGGCTTTCTCCGGGTGTCGTCGACTAGACAATGTCGTCTGGCGACCCCCCAGGGGAGGGCCTTCTCTGTAGCTGCCCCGGCCCTATGGAACGATCTACCCCCAGAGATCCAGACCCTCCCCACTCTCTCGGCCTTCCATAAGCCTATTAAGACCTGGCTATTCCAGCCTGGGGCTGTTGACCTCTTGAATGAGGTCCAGCCCCACTAAGGTTGAGTGCATGTTGTGTTTTTTTTTAACTTCTCTGTCTTTCTATTTTTTAAATTTTTTAGTATTTTTAAATTGTTTTTATGTAAGCCGCCCGGAGTCCTTCGGGATTGGGTGGCGTATAAATTTATTAAACATTAACAATTGTGGCAAGAAAGATCTAAAAATGGGACAAAACTCACAACAACTATCCCACTTAACAACAAAAACTTGGGGCTTAAATTTGGGTTGTAAGTCAAGGGCCACCTGAATTAGTTTTCAATTTAGCACCAATCACAGGGACCATCCTCCCACGAGCCTCCCAAAAAGAGGGGGAAAGCAGAGCAGCTGGCCGCACAGCTGCTGGCTTCGGGGAAGCGGCTCAACAAGCAGAAGCGCCGCACCCAGAAAGAGGAGGGCAAACGCGGTATTTGTGCTGCCCCAAGGGGCCAGTGGGCTGCAAGCAGACAGTTCCCTCCCCCTCCCCCTGTGGCACCACTCATGCTGCTCACACCTACCCCTACCCCCCTGGGGGGGCTTATTTTCGGGATTGGGGTATTATTAGGCCCACCCTCAAAAAATTAGGGTTGGGCTGTTTGTTGGGGTGGGTCGTGTTTTTGGAGAAACATGGTAGATGGTAGTAAAGTTACTGACTTGTTCATAAGTTAGTTCTGGTTACTTGCACCTGACAATAATGAAATATATTTAGAAACCACGGTATATGTCCATGTATACCGTATTTTTCGAAGTATAAGACACACCTTTTCTCCCCAAAAAAGAAGATGAAAATCTGGGTGCATCTTATACACCGAATACAGCATTTTTGGCCTACTGACCCCCCCCCCTTCTCAAAAATTGATGCGCAGAGGGTTTGGGAGGCCTGCAAAGTACTCCTTGGGGCTGGGGAGGGCAAAAATGAGCCAAAAATGGGCCATTTCTTGCTCCATTTTCCTCCCCCCAGCCCCCAGAGCACTCTACAAGCCTCCCAAAGCCTATGCATGCCCTGGTTTTTTTGCAAAAAAAAACAGGCCATTTTTTGCTCGTTTTTGTCCTCCCCCAGCCCCCAGGAGCACTTTGCAGCCCTCTTTAAACTCCCTGCATGCCCCATTTTTCACAAAAAATCCCGAGGTGTGCAGAGAGTTTGGGAGACCTGCAGAGTGCAAAATCTTTTTTTTTTTTAATTTACCTCTTCAAAATCTTGGTGCGTCTTATACTCCGGTACGTCTTATATTCGGAAAAATACGGTAATTCATTAACCTAGTTTCTTGCCTTCTAAGCTTCTAAGATTCATGGGGGAGTTTAGAAGAGTTCGTGAGCTTTCCATGAGCTCAAGAATGTCTTTTTTGAAGTAGATTTTTTCTCTCTCTCTCACGAGATGTATAATGCAAAATTGTACCCATCGCTGAAATAAATAAGGAAACTTCCTATGACAGAACTGAAAATCACTGTTCATGCCTCGGTAGTTTACCCAACAACATCATTTCCTGTCCTTCAGCTGGAAAGTTTTGACTTTTACTAGTTAAATAGAGAGGGCACCTTGAAATAAAAGTGTTGTTTTTTGTCCCCACAGCCTAGTCCGATTAAGAAAGAGCGTTCTCCGAGACCACAGAGTTTTTGTCATTCTTCCAGTATTTCCCCTCAAGACAAAATGGCTATTCCGGGTCTTAGCACTCCACGAGAGAAACAGAGGCTCTCCTACGGTGCCTTCCCACATCAGATTTTTGTCTCTGGCAGCATCGACTCTGCCACTTCACCAACAACTGTGGATGGGCCCCCGCTTCCTCCAAGAAATGCTGGAAAAGGTATTTGTTCGGCACTGTTGTGAGTGTTGCGGGAATGGGGCGTGATTTCTGTTTTGCCCCCAATTCTATAGAAACCTAACTGTTTAATTTTAGCTTTCTGGAAGAAGAGGATTTTCAAATGGTGTGGTGAACTCTGGTGATGAGGAGCGTATTTATAGAAATGTAAACAACCTGTTTCTCTTTTATGTATTATACAAAGCTGAGTAACATTTTTAAAGGGCATTTCACCGAGGTTATAAATTCCAAAATTTCTGGACAATGACTTATATAGCACTTATAGCAATAGTGCTCAGACTTATATACCACTTCATAGTGCTTTACAGCCCTCTCTAAGCAGTTTAAAGACTCAGCATCTTGCCCTCAACAATCTGGGTCCTCATTTTACTCACTTCGGAAGGATGGAAGGCTGAGTCAACCTTGAGCTGGTGAGATTTGAACTGCCGAACTGCAGCTAGCAGTCAGCTGAAGTAGCCTGCAGTACTGCAATCTAACCACTGTGCCACCTCGGCTCTTATATAGGCAGGCATTAATATATGTTCACTTAACAGCAATAGAAATTCTACTCTTAATTGTTGTCATAAATTAGGGAATAACTACCGTATTTTTCGGAGTATAAGACGCACCTTTTCTCCCCAGAAAAGAGAGTGAAAATCTGGGTGCGTCTTATACACTGAATACAGCATTTTTGGCTTCCCAAAACCCTGCCCCCTTTACAAAAATGGACGTGCAGAGGGTTTGGGAGGCCTGCAAAGTACTCTGGGGGCTGGGGAGGGCAAAAATGAGTGAAAAACAGGCTCATTTTTACACCACCACCACCCCAGTTCCCAGGAGCACTCTATAAGCCTCCTAAAGGCTATGCATGCCCTTTTTTGGTGAAAAACGGGCTGTTTTTTGCTTGTTTTGCCCCCCCCCCAGCCCACAGGAGCACTTTGCAGGCCTCTCAAACTCTCTGCATGCCCCGTTTTTCACAAAAACGTTTTTTTTAAAAAATCTACCTCTTCAAAATCTTGGGGCGTCTTATACTCTGGTGCATCTTATACTCCGAAAAAAATGGTACATAATTTTTTTAGGCATAGATCCCTTCTCTGGAATTGCTATTCTCAACTGACAAATCAGAATGAGAAAAGGGCCACTGTCACAGACAAATATATTGATGCAATAAAGGGCAAGGGACACTTAATTCTTTGTTTTAGTGGTTGCAGTAGTCCATGCAGACTACCCTCAGGGGAATCATTCTGTTGACACTAAATTCAAAGCATTCTTGAAATGCTTTGAATTTAGTCAGAGACCACTTAACTTTGGCTAGCAAACTTGAAACCTAGCCTTGGGTTCGAAAGAACCTTTGTAGACACATTTTATCTGAAGGAATCTTTATTGTAATCAAGGAGGAAGAACTTCGTTGATTGCCTTTGCACATCCTACTATACCCATGGTGATTTGAACCCATAGCTTTCCATCCTTTTCATAAATGAACTACCGTATTTTTTGGAGTGTAAGTTGCACCTTTTTCCCTCAAAAAAGAGGGTGAAAATCTGGGTGCGTCTTATACACTAAATCCAGCATTTTTAGCCTACCGAAACCCTGCTCCCTTTGCAAAAACAAGGCGTGCAGAGGGTTTGGGAGGTTTGCAGAGTGCAAAAACGTTTTTTTTTTTAATTTACCTCTTCAAAATCATGGTGGGTCTTATTCTCCAGTGCATCTTATAGTCTGAAAAATATGGTATCTTGCTTTATAGTGCTTGATGGCCCTGAGGTGTCTACATAAGGTCAACTGTAGTCATGTCCAACTATGACAGACACCTAAAAGAGGTGAAAACCCCCGTATCAGTTGATACATGCTCCCTCTTGAGCAATGGACACAGATTTAATCTGATTTAATTATTCTGTAATTCAGGCGATCAACATTGCCTTGTTTCAAATAAAATGGTTTAATTGACAATGCAAAGAAGCTGGTGATTATGGTTAACAAACCACTGTTGCTTAACCTGACTTGCACTTCTTTATCAGAATGCTAATCAAGCTTAATAGAGTGAAGGAAGATACTGTATGTGCTGTGTTGTTGCTTAGTATGCACACCACCCAAAAATGAATAGTTTGATTAAATCTATTTCATTAATGTGTTTGCTTGAATGGTATGGTGGCCTAGAGGCGGAGCTCCCACCTCACAATCAGGAGGCTGTGAGTTTGATCCTAGATAGAGGCAGATGTTTATCTCTCTGGGCACAATGAGAATATCTCTGCTGTGAACTCTGCATTGGTGTCAGGAAGGGAACCAGCCAGTAATCACTCAGCTCCATTCAGATGCCCCGATTCCATCCCGATGCATGGGATTATGGGGTCATTAAAGTAGTAGTAGTAGTAGTAGTAGTAGTAGTAGTAGTAGTAGTAGTAGAAGTAGAAGAAGAAGTAGTAGTAGTAGTAGTAATGTATTTGCTTATAATCCTACATCCAGTTATTTTCTAGAGGAAGAATAAATCAAAGCAAAAATATAAATATACTGAAATTAATATAAAAACAAATAACCGATATAACAGTGTTGAAACGTATCTATTCCAAGACTAGATCTTGCTAAATCCATTTGTTAAAGATATGAAATGACATTCAACATAGTTAAATGCATAATCAAGAATAGTCGTATTTCACAATGATAAATCATTGTTTTCCTTGGCTTGTTAGTGTTTTGAACTTGGGGCCTTTACTGTATTAAATCTATACTTTTGGCTGTCGACACTATTCTTTTAGATTTAACCTTAGATATAATAAGTTAAATTATTGCTTAGATTTACTCATACCAATGTTGATGGATATTTTTATTGGTAAACAGTGAGTCAGATCTAGTCTTAATCAACAACTTTAATGAATGGGATTTACAATAGTAACTAACTTATTCTATTGTTAAGACTCAACATAGTGCAGATTATTTTTGTGGGACATCACCACCATTTAAATAATAACACTCTTTGCATTAGCTCTTTTACCAAAATTTAAGGTTGAGGCCAGAGATGATTTTTTGTTTTAATATTTGTATTCTTAAATGTATTTATATATTGCACTCAGTTATTCTTAAGTACATCTGCTGGAATAATGGGTTTAATATTCTAATGAATGTTATTATGAAATATCTTTGAATACTAATATTGAAAGACATTTCATGATGGGTTTAATATTAGCCCATTGGGACGTGGTGGCTCAGTGGCTGAGCTTGCTGATCAGAATGGTCACCAGTTTGGCGGTTCAAATCCCTAGCACTGCGGAATGGAGTGAACTCCCATTCCTTGTCCCACCTTCTGCCAACCTAGCAGTTCGAAAACACATAAAAATGCAAGTAGAAAAATAGGGACCACCTTTAGTGGGAAGGGAACAGTGTTCTGGGCGCCTTCGGCGTTTAGTCATGCCGGCCACATGACCACAGAGACGTCTTCGGACAGCGCTGGCTATTCGGCTTTGAAACGGAGATGAGCACAGCCCCCTAGAGTCAGAAACGACTAGCACATGTGTGCGAGGGGAACCTTTACCTTTACAAAACAAATATACATGTCCCTGAATAATGTTGCAGGATCAAATCTGGGTTGGGCTCTGGACCAGAGGTTTGGTCTTTCGAGCTTTTGGACTCCTGCTGGAGCCCACCCAAAGGGAACGTCTCTCACACAAGAATGCATGAGACCCATTCTGGTGAGAGAGAGAAGTTCTCTGAGAATGGGCTCGAGCATGAATCTGAAAGCTCCGAAGATTAAATCTCTAGTCCCCGTGACCGACCTAGTTTGGATTCAGTGGATTTACTTGGTATTATGTGTAAACTTGTCTTCCTGCATCTTAATATCTTAAATTTCTTTGTGTTACCTTCTCTCTGAAACCATATGTATGTCTCTACCACATGTATCTGCTTCTCCCTTCACAATAATTGCTGGAAAAGTTAATAGTAGGATAATAATTTTGCATTTTTTTTGGAATGGCCGATTGTTGTTTTCACTCCCAGTCGTTTGCTGTATTTTCCTGTTGTCTGATTTTGAGTTTCCTGTGTGCTGTATTGGTGTTAACCCATCTTTGTGTTGATAAGAAGATATTTGTTTATCTCCACAGGTCCAACATGCCCTCCTTCAACTCTCCCATTAAGCACTCCAGCCTCTAGTGGCAGCTCTACCCTGTCTAAGAAGAAGCCCCCTCCCCCACCCCCTGGACACAAAAGAACCCTATCAGACCCACCCAGCCCACAACCACATGGGCCCCAGAATAAGGTCCAAATGTCTTGGGGTGAGTTATAATAATATTCATACTGATTTAGTTTCAACACTTATAGGTAGAGCCTGGGGATGGAGTCAAGAGAGGAACCAGCCTGGAATCATTACATTCCCACAAGTGATCCAACTCCAGATCCCCCTTGAATTCCATTAAGTCTTTCCTAATGCCAATGTAATGCTGACTGTTAGTTGATTAGATCCACGTTATGATGTACTGTAGTGGGAGATTAAATTGCCAGCTGGTAGGCGATTCTAGTCCTAACTGGTGTCCCGTGTTACGGTTTGATCTTTCGGAAATATGATTCCCACTGTTGGCTTGTTGTGACGTCTTGACGAATCTTAACATTACTGTGTGTCTGGAGTCCTTCTACGTGGAAGAATATAAAAACAAATTCAAAATGGAAACAGGTTAAAAATAATAGTCTTTAACATTTGAAAGTGTAAGCCGTGGTTGCAATTCTCTACAACTTTAGAACCAACTATGATTGGATATGATGTTTTAATTGAGCTGGAACCACTGATTTTAAATTAGATGCTCCTGCTGACATTTTAGAGTTAACCCAAAATGTTGTACCATGTTTTCCCAAAAATAAGACATGGTCTTATTTTCTTTTTACTCCCAAAATAAGCACTTGGCCTTATTTTCAGGGAGGTCTTATTATTTTTGAGGTGCAGGAGACAGCGAGCGTGGTCACCTCATGGCTGCTGCTGTGTTGCAATATTTTTGGGGAGGGCTTATTTTTGGCACATGCGCTCAAAAGCCCAATTGGGCTTATTATAAGGTTATCAGTAGTTGCTATAAATTCAAGTCTCTTATACATCAGTGCAAGTGACATACAATGATAGCGAGATATATTTCTAGATTTATACAAAATGTAGTTCTTCCCTGAAGTGCAAAACAGCTGAACAGGAATCCGTTAAATTATATATTCATATATATAGCAGGAGGGACGTGGTGGCTCCGTGGCTAAGACACTGAGCTTGTTGAACATAAAAGTCAACGGTTCGAATCCCTAGTGCGGCGTAATGGAGTGAGCTCCCATTACTTGTCCCAGCTTCTGCCAACAAAAGCATGTAAAAATGCAAGTAGAAAAATAGGGACCACTTTGGTGGGAAGGTAACAACGTCCCATGAGCCTTAGGCATTTAGTCATGCTGGCCACATGACCACGAAGGCGTCTTCAGACAATGCTGGCTCTTTGGCTTTGAAACGGAGATGAGCCCCGCCCCCTAGAGTCGGGAACGACTAGCACATATATGAAAGGGGAACCTTTACCTTTATCAAAAGCCCAATTGGGCTTATTATCCAGGGAGGTCTGACTTTCGAGGAAACAGGGTAGCTCATTGGTTTTTTTTTTCTGAAACTTGTGATAGATAGAAATTTATGACCTCCTTTATAAGCCAGGAAGTTTGTTATAATAACAGTCTTTAAATTAGTGTATATTTTGTGTAGGGAGACGAGGTGGCAGTAAGTTTTGAAGCATCCTAGGAAACCTATTTGTCATCCATCTGTTGACCTTACTCTAACACATGAATTTACTGTTGTGTGGAAAATGGTTTAAATTAGCATTTTATAAGGCTAAAAAGCCGTTAATAAACACAGGTTGTTTCAGTTATAGTTTCAGAACATTCCAGAGGCCTTAAATGTTTACTTGATTAAGTTGTTATGATTCTATGCATTAAGTTATCTGTTTTTAATTTTCGCTCTAAAAAAGGGTCTAAGGATTGTTAGAACCACATACTTTATTGTGAATGGTTTTGAGTCCAACAGCATAAACTGAAAAACTTAGCTGTTGATTTATGTTCAACATTTTAAAAAGTGTTTCTAAAAGACTACTGAAATTTAATAGAAATGGAAAATTGATTCAAAACTTAGTGAAGGCTGACATATTTAATCACTGGTGCTCTAGATGAGTGGACTTTATATCAGATTAAAAATCAAATTAATCTCTTGATAAGGTTATCAGCAGTTGCTACATATTCAAGTCTCTTATACATCACTGCAAGTGACATATAATGATAGCCAGATATATTTCTAGATTTATACAAAATGTAGTTCTTCCCTGAAGTGCAAAACAGCTGAACAGGAATCTGTTGAATTATATATTCATATATATAGCAGGAGGGACGTGGTGGCTCAGTGACTAAGACACTGAGCTTGTTGAACAGATAGGTCAGCGGTTCGAATCCCTAGTGCGGCGTAACGGAGTAAGCTCCCATTACTTGTCCCAGCTTCTGCCAACAAAAGCATGTAAAAATGCAAGTAGAAAAATAGGGATCACTTTGGTGGGAAGGTAAAAACGTCCCATGAGCCTTAAGCATTTAGTCATGGTGGCCACATGATCACGGAGGCATCTTCGGACAATGCTGGCTCTTCGGCTTTGAAACGGAGATGAGCCCTGCCCCCTAGAGTCAGGAACGACTAGCACATATATGCAAGGGGAACCTTTACCTTTATATATAGCAGTCTTCCCATATCTCAGGGGTTGCCACAAAAAAGAGGGAGTCAAGCTATTCTCCAAAGCACCTGAGGGTAGAACAAGAAGCAATGGGTGGAAACTGATCAAAGAGAGAAGCAATTTAGAACTAAGGATAAAGTTTCTGACAGTTAGAACAATTAATCAGTGGAACAGAAGTTGCCTCCAGAAGTTTTGAATGCCCCAACACTGGAAGTTTTTAAGAAGATGTTGGATAGCCATTTGTCTTAAGTGGTGTAGGGTTTCCTGCCTAAGCAGGGGGTTGGACTAGAAGACCTCCAAGGTCCCTTCTAACTATGTTATTCTATTCTATATTGTTTTGACTACCAAATTATGTTTATTTATATCCCTTTATTATTCTTTTAAAAATAACTCAAGGTGGTGAATATGCTTAATAGCAATAGCAATAGCAATAGCAGTTAGACTTATATACCGCTTCATAGGGCTTTCAGCCCTCTCTAAGCGGTTTACAGAGTCGGCATATTGCCTCCACAATCTGGGTCCTCATTTTACCCACCTCGGAAGGATGGAAGGCTGAGTCAACCTTGAGCCGGTGAGATTAGAACCGCTGAACTGCAGATAACAGTCAGCTGTAGTGGCCTTCAGTACTGCACCCTAACCACTGCGCCACCTCGGCTCTAAAACTCCTCCTCGGCTCTAAAACTCCTCCTCCTATTTTTCCCACAACAACAACCCTGTGAGGTGAGTTGGGCTGAGAGACAGTGATCTGGCCCAAAGTCACCCAGCTGGCTTTCATGCGTAAGGTGGGACCAGAATTCACTGTCTCCTGGTGATTGGCTCACAGTCACCTAGCTGGCTTTCATGAGTAAGGTGGGATTTGAACTCATGGTCTCCCCCTTTCTAGCTAGCCTAGTGCCTTAACCACTAGATCAAACCTGAACATAATTAAACAGCAGAAGATAAGATCAAAAATAAAATTAACTATAAATTACAAGTCAGCTTCTGAATCTGTAGTAACAGTGACAGGTGAGGGGAAGAACGGAATTCGTAGATACCGTATTGTGCATTGTTTTTTGGTGTTAGCGTGTCTGCAGTTTTCATGTGGTGAATGTATTTTGTCTGTTTTTATTACCTCCATTGTTTTGTAATTTTTTGTGTACGTTTTGAAATTTTAAGTAAAACTTTTCATTAGAAATGGAGGAATGAGAATGTACAAATTGAGTTTCAACACCCCCTACAGGGGTTCCTAAAAGTTTGTGAACCCTTTTAAATGTGTGGAGAATTTCAATATTTGTACATAAACATGAGCTAAAACATTGTCTATTCTCCACACACATCCTAAAACTAGATAAAGAAAACAAAAATATGTAGCTTTGGATCATCTTCCCCCAATAAATAAATTAAAATATAATGTTTTTAATGGATTGGTATAATTTTGTTCCCTTCTTTTAGGACTCGGGTTGAGAACAAATCAAGGGAAGCCATATTTAGTTTTATGTCGTATTCATAAAAAATAAAATATTGAGAATTCAAAAGGGTTCACAACCTTTTAAGTACCAGTGTATACCATATTTTTGGAGTATAAGACGCACTTTCCCCCACCCCAAAAAGTGGGTGGAAAAGTCTGTGTCTTATAGAGCGAATGTTGCCGAAGCCCCGCCCATCTGGTGGCCCCCACCCTTTGGCCTCTGCCTTCCAACAATTCGCCTCCTTGCAGCAAACAGCAAACGGTGTCAGCTTCAGCACAGTCTGATTCATTATGAGTAGCTGATTGGCGGTTGGGTCTGCCTCCCGGAATACCTCCTATCAGCTGTTCCAGGCTACGGGGATGACTGCCACCCATCACTGCTGCCACCTGGCGGCTGGAACGGGCTAAAAATGGGACGCGTAGTCACTGCTTAGTGAAAGAAAAATACAAAAGAAGTTTCTTATACTTTTTTAAAAAATATCTATCCATCCATCATTACATAAATAATGATCTCCGTATCTGGACAAATTTTGACAAAGTTGAAAGCAAGTGTGAGGTCAGATTTTAATTCTTCAATCTCCTGCCTGGCTTCTTAGCCACAAACAATGTAGAGCAGGGGTGCCAAACTCATGTCATCAAGTGGTGTCACATGACGTATCGGAACTTTCTCCCCCCCCTTGCTACAACTGGTGTGGGCGTGGCCAGCGCGTGACGCATCTGGCCTTGACAGCCCTGGTGTAGAGGGAATGGATATGCACAAATAGTTGGGGTTGATCTGCTTTTTTTGTAGATTCTGGCTGTGCCAGTTACCTTGGGGCCCCGGGGGTGGGGGGGAACAGCACAGTGGTTGATCGAGTAACAACAGGTCCCACCTGCCCCCCCCCATTCTCCCCCCCTCTACCTTCCCCACATGTCCTTAAATTTTAATATTTGGTTTTAATTTATGTTTTAATGTAGATGCATATTTTTATGACTGTAAGAAACCTAGAGTTATCTTATGGTAAGATGGGCAGCCAACGAATTTTATAGATAGACAAATTGGATGGGTTCGTGGGTAGATGGATAATGATAGACAGACAGACAAATATGATATAGATGTATAAAGATGGATAGATATATGAGGTAGGTGGGTGGGTAGGTAGGTAGGTAGGTAGGTAGGTAGACAGACAGACAGACAGACAGACAGACAGACAGACAGACAGACAGAC